CTTTAAATGTTTCATTATTCGCCTTCCCAACACCTTGCAATTAGAAAATTTTGAAATTAATATTATTCACGGGGTTCGTTGCTTGCTTGTTTTATGTTCAACAATATCGGAGAACTGTTACTTAAGATGCGAACGAATTCGATGTTTCTCAAAATTGTGACAACATACATCGTTTCGTCGCTCTGGTTCAAAGCCAAAGGGATTACAGGGGTGGCGTTGATAGTGGTAACGATCGTCGATATCGAATCCTCTTCTTCTCTTCCGATGTCTACCGGTTGTCTGCATCGAAAGGCGCACGAACAATAACGAAGAACAGTGTTCGCGATCTTGTATTCCCGTCGCCGTGAATCGCTTGATTCCTCGTTGAAATCTCGAGTTCTTTCCTCCGAGTTCGGTTCCCCGCTCCTCAAAACAGTGGCCTTGTCCTCTTCTAGCCCCGCGCAATACTTGAAAATCATTTTCGCCCACCAATGCGGCGGCTCATTGGCCGGGATGGAAAGTTCTTTCTGTATCGACGATTCTTCTCGCATTTATCCGAATTATATTTACTTATTCGAATGCCATTTTTCACTCGCGTATCTATTGATTATATAAATCAATTTGTTGCTCTTTGATATATGAAAATATACAGGGTGTCCCTGCATGTACGAGCTTCCTCTGAAGGTGTGAAGGAGGATGAAATTGTGAGCCAAAAGTTCCTGTTCCCCTTTTTCCTCCAACCGTTACTAACAAAGTTATTAACAAAAAAAGTGGACCACTGGCGGTCATGCACAACTGTCACGTAGTGTCGTGTATTAACACAAGGCCCAGCCGCCGCACTATTTTCCATTTTATGATATTTTGTAATCGATTTTTTACGCTTTTTGTATTGAAAGTAATAAACAAAATGGAAGAGGAACTTTTGATTCAAAATTTCACCTTCTTTCACGTCCTCAGAAAAAAGTCGTGTATTCTATGCACCCTATGTAATATTTAGGGATCAAGGAACAGAAATAGAAGTGTTTAAGTATAGCTTTCATTGATTTGTCTCTGAGAAAATCTAAAGATAGGAAAAAATACTTTTGGAAATCTTAATGCGTGACAATCTTAGCATTGTATTATTACCTTTATCACGATGTTAATTTATTTATGAACCGATAGGTATCCGCAAACTATTATGGATCTATCATAAAAATAGCATTATACGCGAATTATTAATTATTTCAAACTTACTCGTTATAATTTAGATTTTATATTATAATGCCAAAACGTAAAATTGAATTTATGAATTCAATCACACATAATTTGGATTAAGCAGAAAAATGGAAGCTGTCTTATATTTAATTTGATCTAAAGAATGACATATGAGAATAGACTGAGCACCCAAATGGGAGACTTGAGATAAAAAAAATAAATGGGAGAATTTTTGTCTATTCAAAATACATTGGACGCTCGGTTTATACTCTTACGTCTATGGAAATAAAACACAAGAAATTTCGGAGCAATGAACGTCACATTGTCTAAACAATATGCAATTTAAATTTTCCATTTTATTTATGTTCCGAAGAATAATGAACGATCGATTATTATTACCTGTTATGAGACGTACACGATCTCGTGGTATACGCGAATGTAATTTTAAAGTAGAAATATGTCTGTATTTCATTAACAAATAACAGATCTATAATGTTCTTTTTTCTGATGAAAACAATTACGGAATGTACATAAAAAAATAATGAAGACATGCATAATAAGTTGTAAAAACTATTGGAATATTTCTTATATCAAGGGTGATACTGTTCAGGTTTGGAAGATCTCTAAAGTGTTTTAACTTTGATCAACAAAATTCGTATACCTTATACTGTGTGAAATTATTTACATTCATATTACATGAAAATTTATGAGAAAACACTGAAAAGGTCACTTGAATATCCTCACACGCACCGATCGATAATTCTTTACACAGAAAATCGCACTTCACTAATTACAATCGATTTTACTGAAGCGATCATTTCGTCGAATTGGAAATTCTGCACGGATTAATTGATTACTAAAAATTGTATATATTGATTTGGTAAACTTTTAGAATATAAATCGAAGAGAGAAACAAAGCATATGTGTATAATTATGAACGGGGCGACAAATGACGACGCACGCACAACTGTTCCCCATGTAAGTAGACGCCGAGCGTCCCGACGCTGACCGCTACCACCTCCTTTTTCACTCCCCACTTCCTGTTCCAACCCCAGGACACTGTATCGAATGGCTATACACTGACCCTAGCCTCGGACATCGAAGATAGAAACTTATGTATAGTGGAAGTAAAAAGTGAGTGTTCGAATGTTCATGATGATATCATAAATAATGTTCATAAATTGCAATTGATGAATGGAACTCGAGATTTAAAAAAAATATTCACGTTTTTTTAATACCCGACAAGAAGAACTTCATTTATTTCAGTGAAATTACTTTAATTAGTACTAGTTTAAGCACACTTTAATTAATTGTATGCAATCTTCTAAAAATTCATTAAATAAATTGGAAGTACATAATAGGTAACATACATTTTT